GTGTTGAGACTTGAGACGATTCTAAAATGTATGCTTTTGTAATTTGGTTTCAGTTTTTTTTTTTCCCTCATTAGTGTAATGTTTTTACATTAGTTTGGCCTGTCTTTAGTTTTCGTTCGTTAGTCGTAATGCCAGGTGAGAGTGCCTTTGAGTGTTTTAGTTTTTTTGTGGATGAATGAATTCATATAAAATAAAGTTCGTAGTGAAAACAAAACTATGTGATGTAAAATGTTGCCACGAATAATAAAACGTTTTAAATCATCAGTGACAAACAAGTAGCGGTTCACATGGGCTTCCTTTCATGCTGATGATGATGCTATTTCATGCTGCTAAGTGATTACATGATGCTACTTCATCTTTTATCCGGACCAATTGACAATTTGAGTTTGATAGTAATCCTAGGACAAATTCTTGTTTTTGCGAATGAAGATTTGAAATAACGATAAAGATAGTTTTGAGAAAGATATGAGGGATGGTTAGTGCAAATGTATTAATGGCATTGAATGATACCAATCAGTTAAAGTCTCAGACCAGTAAGCACCAATCGAGATCCCGAAAAATAAGCACCGAGTATTCTGAAATTATTTTTCCCTTCCATTTGGCCACCTCTGTCACTAGTATGCATTCGTGCACTCATATTTGGCAAAATACTCTGTTATCTGATTTGATCTTTTTTATCATGCATGGTCGGATCGTTAGGTGAATGAACAATGATATGATTTTGGCCAGTTATAGTCAATTCAAAATTGGGATACACACTGCATTTTTCTTACATGTTTCGTGTAAATCCTCGGCTCACATATAAAATGCTGTCAAATCATTATGGTTGTATTGTTGTGAATATCTGCATATATTAGCATTTATTTTTGTTTATATTATCACTCATTTGGGCTTCCGAGAATCACGTTTATTTTTACTTTCTTGGTTTTTACAGATGGATAAGTGGAACGAGCAGAGGGAGAATGGAACATTCCCTGGGCCTCTGTAAGATTGCTGTTTTTTTTATTATTTATGTGAACTCACTTCAAGCTTCTGGGCCAAGCAGGCAATTTTCTTATTGAAGTCTTTATTGTATTCAAAGCAGTTGAAGCCCAATTTGTAAACTAATGGGCTTGTTTCCAGCTAGTCTCAGGATTTACATTGCTTTATTGAAGTCTTTATTGTATTCAAAGCAGTTGAAGCCCAATTTGTAAACTAATGGGCTTGTTTCCAGCTAGTCTCAGGATTTACATTGCTTTGGTGGTGGATCTTTCTATTTTATGATCTCTTTTTTTTTCTGGTCAAGCTTGAGTTCACATTAAAACGATATATTTTCAGCACAAATATAATTTTATAAACACACGACCTGGTATCTACCGAAGTATTACGAATTTACAACATTGCATTAATTTAGACAATCATTAATCTCAAATTTCCAGGAATAAAATACCTTTTTTTTTTGGTTTAATTTCTTCTGACAGGAGTT